TCTATTTTGTAACAATTAAAATATCGCTATTTTGGCTAATTTCGAAATACATTCATACATTCCAATGAAAACATTCTTATCATCAAAAATAGAAATTGTTGCTAAATTCTATAGTTTTTCACATTTTTATCTCACAGAAATTATTCTATGACTTATTCAAACATAATGCTGTTACGTTTTTGGCACACTTTTTTTCAATTATCTTGAAAGATTTAAGAGCTAGAAAGTTCATTTAAACTCCATTCGATGTAGCTTATCACACTCTATTTATGCTATAAAGATGGCCCTTTTTTGATTGAAGTCTCGGACTTCTAGGAAGGTTTTATCATCGGGTAATGTTGTTACATGAAAAGACCCTTTTTCTACGGTGTCACTGAGAAAACTCTAATTTCTTGCGAAAGTATTTTTCCAAATGAAATACTTCTAGAGCTATTTTTGCAGACCATCAAACGGACTTTTAAGCGTTAAAAAAGATTTGCTTTAAACTATTTTTGCTCAGATAAAAAATTCAAAAAACAATAAACATAATGACGTTACACAATTTTTTGTCGATCAATGTTGAGGCACTTAGGGTGCTCAGAAATATTTCATTTTTATAAATATTGGTCTTTTCTGTATTCTTAATCATTCTGTGCAAGAATCAAGTTGCTACATCAAAATGAGAGCCCATTAACTGTACAGTAAGTGGGAAATTCCACAAGAATGTGCCTGTTGTCCTTAGTGACAAAAATCAAAAATAAAAGAGACCATTTTGTAGAGAATTAAATTCTGCATCGAATGATATGTTACGCAGCATTTTCTAAAAAAAGTTCTTGGTTAAGAAATTCAAAATACAATTTTCTCAAAGAACAAATATCAAATTCGTAACTAGCGTGAAAAACTGCACCTAATTATGCATTCAAATGTGTCCAATTCAAAAAAAAAATTTTTTTTTTAAACTTGATCAGCGAAGTGTTGCATTATGTAGACAAGTCCTCTAATAGTTTTCAATATCAATTTTAGGTGCAACACAAACATTGATTAAACAAGGTGTATTAACTTGTCGATCGAAATGTTCTATTGATAATACTAATAAATCAAATTTATTACATCCAAAACATCAACAAGTTACAGTAGAATGTCCTGTTCGTCTTGATTTATCTGGTGGATGGACTGATACACCTCCAATTTGTTATGAACATGGTGGTAGTGTATTAAATGTTGCTATTACAATAAATGGACAACGGCCTGTAGGTGCTCGTGCACGTCTTATTGAATCAACAACATCAATACCATTTGTTACATTTATTCTCAAAGGTGAACATGAAAAAGATGATAAAATATATGAATTACATCAATTAGTACAATTTACAGATTATAATCAGCCACAACGTCCTTGTGCATTATTAAAAACATGTTGTATTTTTACGGGTATTATTGATATAAATGCAACACAAGAAATGACATTAAATGAACAATTAAAAAAGAATTTATCTGGTTATAGTTTAATACTTGAAGCTTGGTCAAATGTACCTGTTGGTTCAGGTCTTGGAACAAGTTCAATATTAGCTGGAGCTATTTTACTTGCATTATGGAATCTTATTGGTATTGAAAATATTACAGATAGTACGATTATTCGTAAGTTTTCTATGTTTTTTTTTTAAATTTTTGTTAAAATGAAAGAGAAATTAATATTTAGATGGTGTTTTGGTTGTTGAACAAATGATGACAACAGGTGGTGGTTGGCAAGATCAAATAGGTGGTTTATTACCAGCATTTAAATTAGGAAAATCTAATGCTCAATTACCACTTGAAGTTAATTGGCGTCAACTTAATGTTAAAGATAATAATAATACAATATTTTGGAATGATTTTGATGAACGATTAATACTTGTTTATACAGGTCAAACACGTTTAGCACGAAATCTTTTACAATGTGTTTTACGTAATTGGTATTCAGGTACGATAAGTCAATTATTTGATGAACTTGAAGAAAATGCTATACGAGCAGCTGAAGCTGTTGAACAAGGTTTGTATGTTCTTTTTTTTTTATTAAAAGAATATTTTCATAAAATAGGATTATTTAGGAAATTTATCGAAATTGGGTGAATGTATGTCAATATATTGGCAACAAAAATTACGTGTTGCACCGGGTTCTGAACCAGAAATATGTCGTCGATTAATCGATCTTTTAACGCCTTATATATATGGTAGATAGAATTTTAGTTCCTTTTGTATTGTAGTCTTCTTTATTTGTAATGTTCTAGGAATTACATTAGCAGGTGCTGGTGGTGGTGGATTTCTTGCTGCTCTTGCTAAAACAAAGGATGATGCTCGAAAATGTCGAGAATTAATAAATCAAGAAAACATTCCAAATGTATCTCTTTTTTCGGCTCAAATCGATCGACATGGACCAGTTATTTCATTTTCATAATATGATCGTATTGAGTAACAATTGTATAATCGATTCTATTCAATATTATTAGTTTTATTCTTAGAGAACATTTGGAACTTAGAAGTTCCTCTTTTTATTTAATCTAAAATTTTCTTGTTAATCATTTAAAAAAAACCGTTCGATTATCATATTTAATATTAACTGATAGACATATATTAACTTTTAATAAATGATATTTGTCGTCGATATCACTTCGACGTTTACTAGAAGTGCTAATATTTGTCGTGTCTCAAGTTATTGAATTTTTTGATGAACTTATTTTTAGCTTGTCTTCTAACAAGGAAAACTATCTGAATTGATACTCGCCGTTTGAATTCATATTGGACCTCCAAGAACACTTTGATGAGACTAGGAAAAGCCTAAAAAGGTTTGTCCGCATAAGTCTTTCGAGCTGAGTTGAAGTCGTTTTACTAAATTTTCAAACTAAATTTATTTATATACCGAAAAAATCAACCAAAAAAAAATAGAATTTCGACGTAAAATTTTGCTCACAAATAAGTCTAAAGAATACATAAAATATCTTGAAAGTTTCAGCAAAAAAGAATGTTCTCTTGACAAGATATTGAATATTCAAGTAAACTCAGTTTATGTATCATGCCTGTGATAAATGATTATTTTTTGGAAATTCGATATCCCAACAAAAGAACATTCTTTTCTACTGTAACCTTCAGAATATTCTATGGATCATTAGACCTTTATATGGACAAAATGTTATATTGAAAATCCGTTTTTTTTTTTTCTTCAGTTTATATCTAAAGCTGAATCGAAAATTTAGTAAAACGATCCTAACTCGGCTTGAAAGACTTATGAGGACGACCTCTTTTAGATCTTTACTAATTTCATTAAGGTGTCCTTGTAGGTGTCATATAAGCTCAAACACCAGGTATCAGTTCGGATGATTTTCTCATAAGTGGAATTTATATTTCTTTATTTGTTTAATTATTGATTACATATTTATATTAAAATTTCTCTTAAAATGTTTTTTTTGAAAAATTTTTTGAAACTAAAGTCTATTATGCTTTTTGTAATGACAAGGACATGGTCAACTACAATTATAATAAATGATGCAGTCGTTAGAGTAAAAACTTTTTTGTTGCAAGACAAATATAAAGTGCTAGACGTTTCGAAGAAAAAAAAACATTTCTTTAGATTTACTTCTGAACACACTTGTACATTCATAGAATCTTTATTTTATCTATCAGATTTCGTATCAAAAATTAGGAATTTTTTTGTTTGTTCTTTATGGATTAGTTTACCGTAACTTAGGAATATTAGATGCTACTGTACTTCGACTATCGACATACTTTCTAAAATAACTTTTGATATTCAAATGCAGTGTCACTCAGATTAAATTCTTTCGAATTGTCAAAATATACATAATTTCGTTGGAATTACTCACACATCAAAACAATGTTTCTAATAAAAGACAATGATCACTACGCATAGAACTGCTCTTCATTTGAGATGGTATAATTTTCTTTGAATTTGTTTTTTTCTTATGCTAAAACACATATACATAAAGACTAACAACAGTGTAGATTATTTAAAACATCACTAATTTATAATAGATTCTTCATCAATATTCAGAAATATGGTTAAAGATAAGAATCTCTATGTATTTTTCGGCCTTGAAGCCTTCAATTGTAGATTACATTTGGAAAGTCATCATTAGAACTATCGAAGTAATTTTAGAAAACATCTCATATATTCGATAGTCTTCAGAAGTACAAACAATACATTCTATGATGATAACTTCTCTTTAAACGATCTTATCTCTTTAAGTAGTATATCACTAGACGATACAAATAATCATGATGTCTTGAATCCTTGGTATTACAACTAGGACAAGAGAACATTAAGAGTAATTGGATACTCGAATATACAATTACTCACAAGATATGTATACCAAAAGGCATAATATTCATTTGAGCCAAAATTGATCATTTTGTATCGTAAGAGTTACTTTACTATCAGTTGATCAATTTTTTAGAATTGACTAGATAAATTCAAAACAAAAGAAAAACAAAACAGTTGATGTACACGACAACATTGTCGTGACAATTTGAAATCTTTTCATTATCTTATTTTGCTTTTTTAGAGAAATGAAAGCTGCACAATTGTGAATACAAATCTAACAAATTCGAATTAATCGAACAAAACAAAAGAAATCAAGAAAAAAGAAAAAAAAAGAGAAAGGAGAAAAAAAAGGGAACAGAAACAATAACGACAATTAGGGGAAAAAGATGACACATTTACGAATACACACACACATGCACACGCATACACGCTGATTTTCTTTTTTTCAGCTGAATGAAAGAAGTCATTTTGTACAAAGTTTATGACAATAAGAGAGACAAATCAAAACAAAAATAGATAGAATTGAGAGAGCACCGGGCTTATTATGTATATGTAAGAGTTGTATAGACGACAGAGAAAGATTCAGGTAGATCTTTGTGTGTATGTAGCGATTGCATATTATTGCGAGAGGCGACATGCATACAGAGATAGATGTGAGATCCGACACGGGCCAAATAAAGACAAAAAATAATCTTAGTGAAGTGATTTATTATCTGAAAGGAGGAGCAGGTGAAGATGACGATGATGAAGAATTAACATTTGATGTTGTGGGATTTGAAGGAACAACGGATGCCATTGGAAAATTTGATGATATTTGTCTTGTCAATTGTTGTTGTTGTTGTGGTGGTAACGAAGTCGGATAGGATGGTACAGATGACTGTCGATAGTATGATGGAGGATAAATATTTCCTGTTCCAGTCGTTGTATTTGACGGTGAATGCATAACATGTGATGAAAGTGGATCATAAGATGATGATGATGATGATGATCCATAATTAGATGATGAAGGAAGGCTATTTTGTGTTGAATTCATTGATGGTATTGTGGAAGACGATGATGCACATGTGGCTGTCATTATCATTGAAGATGAATTTTGTTGTGGAGTTGATGATACATTTACTGAAGAATTTGTTGATGATGCATAATTATAATGTTGAGACATTGGATATTGCTAGAATATAATAAGAATATGAATATATATATATATATATTTTTCTTCTTGCAAAAAAGAAAAAGAAAAATTCTTCTTATTATTTTGATCTTACTTGATTATGTGATGGATATGAATAAGAAGGATAAGAAGAATAAGGTGACATCATTGATGGATATCGATTAGGATAATAACGATTATGTTGTTCAAAATGTGTTGGTCGAGTCGAATAATTATACATTTGTTGTTGTTGCATTCGATATGCATCAGAATACTGTTGAGTTGTATTTGGTAAATATGGTGTTTGTCTTAATGGTAATGAATCTGATCTAGTAATCATTTGTTGTTGATATCTCTTATTATATTCAATTGTTTTTTGTATTGATAAATTATTATTATTATTATTATTATTATTATCTGACACAAGAAATGCTGTATTTAATGTATTTAAAAATGTAATTAAACCATCAATTGTTAAATAATCTTGAGGACTAGGACATATAGGTAAAATAAATGAATCGAATGTTGTTAAATCAAGATCTTTAATATAGGATGAAAAATTTAATTCGGAAAATGGTATTAATGAAATAGACGAAGAAGATGATGATGATAAAGGAAGTATATTTGGTGATTGTGATAATAAATTTGTTGATGGAGATGTTGAAGTTATTAAATTTGATACAGGATTAGTATTTGTATTATTATTAAGATTAGTTGAATTTATTATTGTTGATGGTGATGCTGTTGAAGGTGATGATGTAGATAAAACCGATGGAGAAGAGGATGAAGATGGATGAACAAGAAAATCTTGTTGATCATTGGATGTTAGTGGACACTGTTGCTGTGATAAAGATGAAGATGATGGAGAAGAAAGTATATCGAGTGGTTTTTGTTGTTGGGATGTTTGGCCATTTACACTGACATTAATCACTGTACTTAATGTGAAATGATGTGTTGGTGTATGAGCTTTTTGACCACTACCATTACCACCACCACCACCACATTCAATATCAATTTTTTGAGTTAATTCAGCTTGAAATGGATAACAAGTCTAGAAATAATTCATGAACAATATATATATATAGAACTTAGTGAGTTTTTATGAAAAGTTATTAGATTAATTAATATTAAATTAATTTTATTATAAACTCTTAAACATCTGCTATTAATATAATATTTCTTTTTTTAAGGTATTATTTGACCGTAATTTTAATTTTAGCAAGAAAAAGAAAATCTTCTATTTTTTTTTTGTAATGAAAGACAAAGTCATTGAAATTATTGTTTTGTTTTTCAAAATTTTGTTTTTTTATAGAAATAAAAATGCACAATTTATAAAATTTCTACGATATTCTCTCAATGTAGAAAAGATAACTTTTGTATTTGTTAAGGTCTTTTATAATGAAAATATTTTTCGAACAATCAAGTTAGACTCAAATAAATATATATATTCATTTCTACTAAAATGTAAAAAAAATAAAATTTAATATTAAATAAATATCTATTCATTTGATATTGATTAAGAATAAATTTAATCATTCTATGAAAAACAAAATTATTGTTTTACAATCGTCATCTCACAATTTAATTTTTCAATACACAAAAAAAAAAAATATTTATAATCAATTTATAGTTTAAAATTCGAATACTTCTCTACGGCTTTCTTCTCAATTCATTATTGATTATCATTCAAGTTAACAAATATTAGAAAAAATAAAATAAAAGTTGCTAACGATATCTACATATAAAAAAGAAACGAAAAGAAATACCTATGAATATTTACATCATTTATGAATAATGCAAGTTAAATATATACAAGTCATTGTTTATTAGAAAAAAAAAAAATTTAACTTACTTGTGATTGAGTATGATCATCACTTGTATTAAGTGATGATGTTGATGATGTTGAACCAATTCCATTGGTATTTGTTTTTTGTTTTTTCCTTACATGTCCACTACTAGTACAATTTGTTGATGATGGTGATAAACTCGGTGAATTAGCCATTGTAGATGGGACAATTCCAGTTGTTGTTTTGTTCTGTTTTTGTTTACTATCTTCCAATGAACGTTTTTCTTCGAAATGTTGATAATAATGACGTCGATGAGTATGAGCCATTAATGGATGATTATGAAGATGTGGATGATTATGTACCATATTAGTAGTAGTATTTGTATTTGTATTATTTGTTGATACTTGTTGTTGATTTACAGCAATAGGTACAACTTTTAATGATTGTTCAACTAATTTTTGTTGTTTTGTTGTTGTTGCCCATTCAAAGTAATGATGATCACTAGGTGTTGTTTGCTGTTGTGGAGGTGCCGCCATGTTTCTGAAAAAAAAAAAACAGAACTTGACACAGATGTCAAATTACTCTCTGTTTTTTTCTCTGATGATATATATTTTTTTCTTTTTTTTTTTTTGTTATTTCTGTTTCTTTAACGTTCTTATTGTTGTCGTGGAATTTTTGACAGATGAGAAAAAAAAGAAAATTATGTACCTACCTGCATATACATAGATTGTCAAATTTATATTAAATATGTATAACAATAATAAGGAAAAAATGTGAGTGTGAGAGAGAGAAAGAGAAAGAGACTAAATAATAATGATCACTGACAGTGACGGTGGCCAAACCACCACCACTGCACTGTTGTGTTGGGTATATCTGGTGTTGTATGTGTGTCGCGTTCAATCGATCAGTCAGTCAGTCAGTCAATGAACGTTTGTTGCTGTTGCTTCTTCTTTTCTTCTCTTTCTTTTGCTTCTTCTTTCTTGGTGCGTCTCTTCTTTTTCTTATTCAGTCCGCCGCAGCAGTAATAGCAGCCGTTGAGGAGGAGAAGACGCACTTTTTCGCCTCTCGCCACCATCACCATGATCATGTGTGTATATGTTGCTGCTGTAGTTTGCCTCGTCGTCGTTCGTCGTCGATGAAAGATTTCAATATATATATATATATATATCGCTGTTGAATAGTTATAGTTCAACTTCTCCCTTCTCTCGTTCTCTTTTCTCTCGGCGCCGTCGTTTGTTCGTTCGTTTGTTCGTTCTTTCGTCGTCGCTTGTTTGACCAAGGAGGAGTACAGGAATGGGAAGAAAAAATCTATAAGCACACATACACATACACATACACATACTATGCTTGTGGTAGAGTGGAGTGTCGCCCGAAGGAAAGGAAAAGTCGCTATGTGCTCGCGAACCTACAGACAAATAGATAAGAAGAACAAATCGTGCGAGCAGTGAGCAGGAAAGGAGAGAGTGTGGAGAGAAGAATAAGAGAAAGGGGGGTCTCGGGCACCGGCGCGACGCGGTAGATCTATTTTCATATATTAATATGCATACACCACCCCCATCACACATAAGAACGCAAGAAGAAAGAGAACACAAATGAGAATGAGACGATGAAGAGAGAAGAAAGAAACAGATTTCTATATGTTTGTAGGCTATACAGCTCAATTCGCAAGCGAGCAAGTCGCGTGTGTTTATGTCGATTTCTCCTGTTCGCAGGATATATAGTGTAGTGTCACCGATTTTTGTCGACAACAACAACGAGCACACATATGGAAAGAGGGAGAGAGAGAAAGAAGAAAAGAAGGACTATCGACGGGGGCCACCAGCCATCAAAAGGAAGAGTAAGCTAGAGAAAAATGATGATTATTGTTATAATTTCTGCTGGCACCCTTCTATACCAATGTTCCTATATCTCTGTCGATGAGGCAAATTGTATGCTTTTTTTTCTTTGACATGCAATAGCCTTCTCTGACATATATGTAGAGAAAAGAGAAAAATAGAAAAAAAAAACAAATAAATAGCTTTCATCCTATAACGGTAATAATAACGATGATGTTAAAATACTCTTCTTTTGTCCAACAATCATTAACTAATCAAAGAGACTATGACCGAATGATCAAACATATACATACATACACAACGCGATGAATTGTAGTAGTGGTAGTAGTTAGTAGTATTGAGTGGTTGCTCGCTCTCTCTCGCGCGCGCGTGTGTATATTTGTATGTAATGGTCGTCGACGGACGAGAGCAGCGACAGTGACATATGAATACGTGCATGTAACGGGTGACAGCAGAACAAAAAGAGAAGAAGGAAAAAAAAAAAGAAGAAGAAGAAGAAGAAGAAGAAAAGACAAGTACTATAGCTACAGTTCTGTTTGTTGACTGCCATCAAATGCCATTTTCAGGTCATTGTTGGTTGACAAAAATCGATTTTTATACATTCGATCTGTTGACAAAAAAGAGCAAGCTTGTCAAAATAATAGTTATAAGATAAAAATAGATCTAAAATAACAGTAAAAAAGAAAAAAGCAAGACTTTGATTTCTTATTCATCGTTCACATAAATTCAATATTCTCTTTCAATCGTTATATCTGTCATTATTAATAAACAGTTTCTTAGTTTATCTCATTTTTTTTTTATACTATAATAATTCTGAATTGAATTTATAGTGAAGAAAATTGACGTTTTTGATGTCATACATCGATGAAGTCAAAAAAATTCTTCTCACATACAATCATAATGGCTTCGTATTGTTCGTATTTGAACTGTAAATATTCGATTAGAAAGAAAACAAGAATAAAATATTAAAATAGTTTTTTCAAAATATTTGTTATTTAATTAATAAAGGAGATTAATGCTCACACAAATAACATATGTTACAAATAAAGTAAAAAAAAAATACTTTTTGAACTATTCTTTATTCTTCTCAGCGATTAATCATTCAGAAGTAGATGCTCAAAAAAAATTCGATGTCGTAATTTTTTCTTGTTTGTATTTTTTGCTTTTTTATGAGACATACATTCGATAGACCAAACTCATTTATCGTGTTTCAACGACGTAGCACGCTATGCAATATCATTATATCGATGTTTTGCTATATTTTTTTTGCTGTTATTTATTGTTCGTTTGAAAAAATCTTTTTTTTTTTCTGTAAGAGGTAAACATCAAAGGAAGCATTTTACTTAAGAAAAGAAAATATTGACTAACGAGGGAAATGCGTCAATTGATTAATCGCTTTTGCATCGGGACAGTATGCATCATGTAGATCTTAATAAGTTACGAATATCCTGAAAAGAATTCGTGCTGTTAATTTATTGCTAATGAGATATTGCTTTTTTATGATATTTCCTAAATCAAAGTTGTTGCCTCGTTGCCATAAAAAACACCGAAAAAACTGATTCTCAAGTTTCGACTTGGAATTTTGTATAGAGATAGACTTCATATAGAATAAGTGTTTTTTTGTGAAAATTTTAGATGTTTTGATTTGCTCCTATCTTGAAATAAGAATATCAAATCTTCTAGTACATATAGAATATATAAATGATGCACTTTTATTATAGCCGTATCTTACGATAGGAACGATGAGAAAAGATCTGAAATTTTTACAATAAATTATTGTATTTAACTTTTTCGTGGAAATTTGATTTTCATAGAAAATAGCTTTAACACATTCATTTTCATGTGTATTCACCTTCAATAATTGTATTCGTTGGTATTTTCAGTGTGTGCAGTCATTCGTTTTTCTTTTCCTTGTTTATATCATTACATAGATGGTCATCTTTCACGTCAAACCGACTACTTATTCACATTTAGTTTTCTCTTTCTTATATGTGTCACATAGTAGGAGCGAGATAACGAAACGAAATTTCGATTTTTTTGTTTTGTATTTCTTTTCGTAGCATTATCGCTGATTCTTTTCTCTCATATATATCAAAACAACTGAAATTTTTTGGCTGATTTACATGTCGTCTAAAGAAATCGATACAGAAGACAGCGGGAACTCACTGAATGATGTGAGTTCTTTGGATAATGAGTTTGCTAGATTGCAATTTGAATCTTCAAGCCCTGAGGAAGAAGTTACTGATGATGACGTGGATTTACAAATCTGAAATGAAATAGAATCAGAATCGGATGCTGAATTCCAGGAGGCTCATGGAATCGTCGAAGAAGTAACGCCAATTTCGGAAGATAATACAATCAATCCTATTGATTACTCTCAACATTTCGTTACTGACAAAATTATTAGTCTCATGGTTCACGAAATTAATCGATATGCAGAACAACACTTACAAACCCAGAAGCCTAGCAGACGATCAAAGACTCTTCAATGGGAATCAACTACTAACAAGTCGTATTTGATTATAATGATGGGAAGCAAGTTATAGATTTATGTGATCAACTATGAGCATACTATACATGCCTCAGACAACCTATAAAATGGTATCAAAAGGTGGCATTTGAATTGATATTTGGAACGGCAATAGTTAATGCCTATTTGATTTACAAGAAAAACTATGCCACAAACGACATGATCATAGCGTAGTTTCGTAAAAGTCTTATATGATCTTTACTCCTTGGTGCGCCATTCAAGAAGCTGAAACCTGACCCGAGGCAACAATCAGTAAGTAATTTGAAGCGTAAACTAGCTGATCAGAAGCTCGAAGAAAAGGAAAGATTTGCGCGCAATGTTCACAGACGCTGTGTTGGCTGCTATGAGAAAATCAGGGAACAACAATCAAGAGAAGCGAGCACGGCGATAGCAAAGAAAATGAAAACCTTCTGTTCTGACTGTGATAATTTTTTTTGTCTTGATTGTCTTAAGGAGAAGCATCATGTTATGCAATAAATGATACAAAAAATGTCGAACGTAGAGTAGACTACACATTATGTATAACTTCCTGCCGGAAAAAAAGGCAAAAGAAAGTATTTTTCTATAGAGTTTCTTCTTAAAATATAGTGTGATCCATCAGTGGAACACATCGCCGCGAAAGGATTAAAGCTCCCTAATGACACGTTTTTCAGTGTTTGATCCTAATGTTTTGAAATCAGCGTCACTCTGTGACGTCTAACTTGATTGAACAAGTCGAAAGTTATTGACCTATGCATAATATGTGCGCCTTTGTATCAATTTTAAGTTCTTTTCTTTTCAAAAATTCTCTTAGACGAAAAAAAACCAAAGTCTACATTTTGAATATCTTTGCCATTAAGCAGCTAGTTGTTAGGATATTTTACTGAACACTCGGAAAATGATGGAGAACGAAATGCACGAATCAAACTTTCTTTAAACTAACTTTTATTTTTTTTCATCAATTGTATAAAAAAGTTGCAATTCATTCATATATCATTATGCATAAGTCTTCATAATTTCAAATCTCAATTAATTTTCGACAAAAATTATTAATCGTTTTTTTATTTTATAGGTTGTCATAATCGCCTCAAAAAATATGTAGAAAAAATTTTCTTATCTAAATTTCGAAAATGAAATTAAAATGAATTTCTATTTATACTTGTTAAAAAAAGTATTTAATTTAATTCGAGAA